CAAATTTGAAAAAATCTGTGAAAAACACTGTGCAACCCGTGTTCTTCACGGACTCGCCGATTCCGCACAGTGAATCGGCGAGTCACTGTACGGCATCGTCCGGTTCTCTCTAGAACCGGACGATTCCCGATTTTTGAACCGATCCGGTACCTTTTTCGTGAATTTCGAGTCGAACCGGGCGAGTCCGGTTCGACTCGACGATTTTTAAAACGCTGATACCTGACGTGTTACCACCACCCCTAATTTGAATGAACGCATCCTTAAACGCTCCTAAAGCAATCCAGCTTTGAAGTTTGAATATCGTTAGAGAGAGAGATCACTTTAGTTTAGAGAGAGAGAGAGAGATCACTTTAGTTGGAGAAAATATGAGTTGAGTGGGAAAACAAGCGAAAGTTTGAGATTAGTCGAAACAACAAAAATATTTGACTAATGAAAATTCAAATATTAATAGGGTCGGTCATTGCAATGCTCTGGAAGCGGGGGGGTTACAGTAGGATAAAAAGCCTCTGAACAAGGGGCATTTTAGGCTATCTAGTATTGTTTTTCACTTTCTAAAGCAGCCAGCGTCGGGAGCTGGTGTGGCAGCCACGATTGTCCTACCTCAAAAACCCTAAAAAATTAATTTTTCCCGCTTTGAATTCTCCAAAATGGCGTAATAATTCACATTTCTTACAAAAAACAAAATTGTACAGATTATTATTGTAATAATGTAAAATTAAAAATAAAATAGAGTACATAAAAAGTAAAGGTGGCAGATTATCACCTTCCTTTCTTCTTTCTAGTTTCTCTCTCTAGTTTAACAACGGTATACAGTCCGCTAGAGAGAGAAACTGTGGACTATATAAAATGCAAAAGGCCGGATTTTTGAGCTTCTTCTCTCTGTTAATCTCTCTCTTATTTTTTTCTGCTTAGCTTTTGATATTGGAGAAGCTTCAACATATACAACGATTGCTCAAAAGGCGAGAACCTTTCTGAACAACTTCCGATCTACTCGCCGGAATCTTTTTTCCGGCGAATTTTCTGCTTTGGAATTGGATGATCGCCGGAATTTGTTCTCATCGTCAGCTCCCCTTGGAGGGCCTTAGAAATGGTGAGTTAAAAACATTTCTCTGATTTTAGGATTTTGATTTTTGGGGTTTGGATTCTGGTTTTGTATTGATCAGTTCTATTAAATGAAATAAATTGTGGTTTTTGTTTAATTTTTAGTTTTTTCTTTTTGAGGAAATTCAGTGAGATTTGGGGGTTTTCCATATTTCTTTGGTTTAATTTGGTTTCATTACATGTTCTGCTCATTCAAGCCTTTGCATTCGTTATTTTTTATTCAAGCCAATTTTCAATTGTCTGGGTTAGAATGAATTGATTGCGTTTTTAGAGTCAGTCCTGTATGTTGAATTGAACTCATCATGAAATCTTCAATTTTTTATTTCTTTAATATTAGTCTATTGGTTATTTCTGCCCTTTCCCTAACTTCTTGCTATTTTTCCTTTTATTTCTTGCTCTGAGTGCGTCCTCCCTGGCCTTCTCTATAGTCTAGGTTGTGAATTATGTAAATTTAGGGAAAATGGTGATCATATTGCAACCAAGAGTTTTTATGACCATTTTAAAAATGGCAATATGATGTGTTTGATCCACAAGCTGGAAATCAGTTTATTTTGTGTAATATTGTTTATGATTCCACGACAATATTTCTTTTTTATGACCATTTTAAAAATGGGAATATGATGTGTTTGATCCACAAGCTGGAAATTAGTTTATTTTGTGTAATATTGTGTATGATTCCATGACAATATTTGTTTAATTGCATGTTAGTATTTCTATCTTTGTCGCTGAAAATTTTCCTGCCTTTCATTCAGTGCTAATTTTTTTGATTGCCATTTGTTTCAAATGGTTGCATAATATTCAAAACAAAATATAGTTCATTTTTGATGTAGTAGTCCCAATCTCCTAGATCATAAGTCCTATAAAAGAGAGCCAAGGAAGACTTACCACCGAATTTGTGGAATTCAACTTTCTAATTGACAACAATTGGGTTTGCTCCTTCAATTATACCTCTGCTAACTGTTTTACTTAGGTCTTGAGTTAGGCAACCAGATTGATGGAAAAGTTGCAACCATTGTATTTAATAGGGGAACGAATCTTATTTGTTTAGAAAGAAATGGTGTCAATTCTACATGAGCGATTTCATTGTTTTAGTTCTTCTTACATTTGGTTATTATAGGGTAGTGTAGGTCAGCTGGTGTCAATTCCAGTCAGTAGGGCTTGTTTTACTCCGAATCACACTAAGCAAAGGGTGTTGGGCAAAAATTTAAAATTAGGTTAGTGCCTGAGCCAAGTTGAGTTGGGCAAGTCCTGAGTTTTATGGCAATTCTTTAAACAGTGAGGAGTAATTCTTCCATAGATGCATCCACATATTCTCCGGGAACATTAAATAAGGAGAGAATTAGCAGCTGAATGAGCACCACTTTGGTTGACAAGATTTTATTTGTGGAAAAATGGTTTGCTAGTATAAGATGATTGATCTAGCTCATAGCTGAACTCATAATGCGCGTACAAGAATGAGAATGAATAATGGGAAAATAACTCCTTAGATAAGGTAATGGATCTGTCTGAGTGCTAAACATATGATGCACTTGTGAGAATGAATCATGGGAAAATAACCTTCCTTACTTTATATTGAATTATTCTCCGATAATTGACAGAAACAGGGTTCTACACTGCCTATTAGGTAGGTATCTCATTGCCTTGTGAATAATCCGTATATCGTAGAATTCCTCAAGGAAGCAAAGGAAGTCATTTCTAAAGGAGCTCCAAATGAACTTAAAAGGTACTATGGGAAACCTGTCAGGGCCAGGAGCTCGATATTTGTTGAGGTTATTAATGGCTTGGAGGATTTCGTCTTCAGAGAAAGGATGTTGCAGCCAAGCTACCTGGTTAGGAGAGAGCATTAGGAAGGAGAGATCTGCCTTTGTAGGTCTGAGACCTTATGGGGCTGAAAAGAGTTGTTTGAAGTATAGGATTATGGCGGCCTCAATCTCAGCTGGTTGCTCATGCAGATTCCCTTCCACAATAATGTGCGAGATAGAGTTTTCCCCCCGTCGGGCAGTTGGCTATTTTGTGGAGATCTAGTCCTCGTAATGAAGCCACTTGACTCTGGACCTCTGATACCAGTAGATTTCTTTCTTCTTGAGGGTAGAGAGGTACTCCAGTTTAAACTGAGATCTCTGCAAGAGCTCTGATGGTGTAAGCGGCCTGGTTTCCTCTAGGAGCTCGAAGGCTTGAATAGAGTGTAGGAGGGCTACCTTGTGGGTGTGAAAGTTCCCAAGCAGCTGAAGTCTCCACTCTTTAAGAGAGTGTTTGAGTATTTTATGTTTAAGGTTAAAGCCTGCCCTACCGGAAACAAGTGGAGCAAAGGAGTTCCACCACAAGGGAATAAGTGAACTAAGGTTGGATTCTTGAAGCCGAGCAAGTTCGAAACGAAAAGGTTTGGGTCTTTTGTTGATAGGTTGGGTGTCCTAGAGGATGGGAAGGGATCTGAGGTAGGTTTAGGTAGAGCAAAGATGTGGGACCTAGGAAAACATCATCCCAATCAAGGCTAAAAACGAAGCGACCTAGTTTGGAGAGGGTGGGAGAAGAGGAGTGGTTGGACCAGGTATAGCAAGCCCCTTGAAGGGGAACATCGATGAGGTCATGCCTAGAAGTGAAGTACGAAAAGTCCGTCATTCCCCTAGAGGTATTAGTACTGGAATTGCGCTCATGGGACCAACGGGTGATGTTAAGATTATCACCTAGGCACCAAGTGGGATGATGTAAGGACACTAGAGAGTTGAGTTCTTCCCAAAACAAGGGTCGAGTGTTGTTGGAATTAGGCTCATAGATAGCAGAAAATTTCCACAGGATGCCATCCGAATTCCCGGAAAGAATAACCGAGGTTGAGAACTGGTTGACATGAGAGGAGGTCAGAGAGTGGACAATTGAATCCCACACTACACATATTCCTCGTGAGGACCCAGTCGCTGGCAACACAACCCATTGAGAGGGTCTTTGTCCCCAAACCCGTCTAACCTCAAGGAGGGATGGTGAAAGGAGTTTTGTTTTGAAAGGAAATTGCAGGTCGGTGTTTGGCACAAAGGTCGTGTACCGAGCTTTTATGGGGTTGACCCAAACCCTTGGCATTCCAGGAAGGAATGATCATGGGGCTAGGGGTCAAGAGGGAGACGCGCCTTAGGGAGGGAGCGTCTGAGAACAGGGCCAAGAGAAGGAGATTCTAGTATAGTTGGCTCACTATGTGAAGAAAAGGAGAGAGGGTGCTCGTAGTGAATGCATTAAAGGGGCCTTCTAGGCCATTATGTTGGAAGGCCATAACCTTCATTACTTTTGTGACGCTAGATTTGGCTTGGTCAAGTTCTTCCACAAAATTGGAGTCGACCGAAAGGGGACAATGGGTGGCATAAGAGCTGGAGTAAGAGGACTCCTTGTATAAAGGTTGCTATCCGTTCCAACCGGGAAGAGACGAGGGGAATACTTCATAGCAGGAGAAGAAGGGGGGGTAGAGTGTTGTGAAACAGGGGCTATGACCAGAGAAGAGGGGGTGAATTGAGAGAGCAGGGGCCATAGGGTTGAGGAGCACTGGCAGTAGGGGGGTTAAAATTGGGGTAGGAGAAGGGGTGGGGTTAGAGGTAGATTGAGATAGGAAAACAGAGAGATTGGAGGGAGAGGCGCATGCTCGGGGGGGGGGGAGGGGAAGGGATAACCACAAGAGGTGGAGGGTTGAAGATGATGGGCGGATGAGGAAATAGGAGTGGGATGGGATAGAAATTAGAGTAGGAGGAGGCGGGTTGCGAAGAAGGGGAGGGGGAATGAATAAGGGCCCGGTAAGAGGGGATTACCTTCGATAGGTGGAAAAACCAGGGGCGAGGCTAGGGGTGTAAAGGAAAAGGAAGGGTGGAGACCAGGAAGGTTGGAGACCAGGGTTGTCAAACTGCTGGGAAGGGTGGGTGAAGTAAGGAAAGGGTGGAGGGAAGGATGTAGAAGGCAAAAAGGAGGGATGAGGTCGGCCAAGAGAAGGTAAGAAGGGGTAAGGGTTAGGGTTAAAGGAAGCTGGAAGGATGTAGGCAGATGGGTAGAAGCATACTGGGGAGACGTTCCCAGTAGTTCATTGGGACCAAATCTGTGACCAATAGAGGGTAGGGGTGGTGTGCTACGGCATGAAGGCTTGGCTCCCGTGGAAAGGGTGAGGTTGTGGATAGGGTACATGGGGGAGAGGGGCTGAGCTGCTGGGTGCTGCAAATGGGGTCTTGAGAGGCAGGAGTTGTCCGGGGTGGAGAGGGGTTGATCTCCAAAGATGTCTCTTTGCAGCTCCCAGATGGGGGCTCCGGAGAGGATAGGTCAGACGAGGGGAGGACTGGCAGGCTGACTACTAAAGGGGCTGCCCACCGAGGGAAGAGGAAGAGGCTATGCGCATTGACATAATAAATACTCCATAACATATGATACAAATTAATACGTTGGGTATGTTGTGGCGATAATATAGTCTCCGACAATGCTATTGGAGACACTAAGTCAATACAAAATATAGAAAGTGGTGCTATCGATCTTATGATATCTTGCAAGTAGATGACCTAGCTCTCTATTCTATTTCAACTCATAATGTATCGTTTTCTATTTCTTCCTACTCCATGAAACTAAAGAGGAACCAGGCAACACAAATGTCTGATAGCTTGTCTGTTTGGACATTGTCCCCACTCGGCAGGTGCATATGCTGTACAGTCAAGGTGAATGTTGATGAGGACAACAAAACACATCCATATGTAACGTGTAGATAATGACTATCCTGTGAATGGACCTATGGGTGGTCTTCTAGGACAGCATGGGCTTTCAAGGATTTTGACAAATAGATAAAAAAGAGTGCCAACCACCAGTTGTTATCTACTTGCATTAGCTGATGGATCAGTCTCATAAGAAAACAGTTTAACTTTCATTTCGTATAGTGTATTTAACCTCTTACCATCTGTAGTACATACCCGATCAAAAGTGTCTCTACTACACTTGTATTGGTTAGGTTATAACTTTGTAACCTAATAGCGAGCTACTGATTAAAAAACATTGCGACCTTTTGATCATTATTCCCATAAATTCCATATGTAACCCAAGCTCTTCATCTAAAAATTATCTGCGATTATCATTTCAAAATGAGCAAATCCCATCTGAATCAGCCCTTTCAGTCAAAATCTCACTAAGTAGGGAGAGAAATAGGGATGTCATTCTTAGGTATTCTGGATTTATTGCATGCATTTGTATTACTCTAATTCTTTTGTGTTTTTGAAATTGGAAAAATTGCAGGCGGCTCCAGATAATATTGTTGTGGGCTCTCATGTATGGGTTGAAGATCCAGTATTAGCATGGGTTGATGGAGAGGTTTCCCGTATCAATGGCCAGGAAGTTCATGTTCATACTACTAATGGGAAAACGGTATGCTAATTTTGTATTGCTTCTTTTGTTGCAAGGAAGGAATACATATCCAACATTTGTTAGTATTTGTTCTACCTTTATATGTTCCTCCTCTGTTCTTGCTTTCTGTCCTTATTGCTAGACTCTTCATTCTCATTAGTTAAATTTCTAGCAACGATGAAGTAATAAGATTGAATTTGTTCTTCATTATCATTCTATTTGTTTCCATAATTTTTTAGTAATTAGGTACCTTTTATTTTAGAGATGCTAGTTATGACGAAAACGTTTTTCAATAATAAGTTGAGTGCAGTACTCGTTGAACTTCATATGATATTTCCCCATTTTAGTAACATTTTCTTGGAAACTGCATGAATTTAATAGTGCGAATCTGTACACACTGTAGATTTTCATTTACCTTTCAAGCACTGATTTATAGGCTATTTGAAGGAGACTGTGCATGTGTCCTTATTGTTGCCGCTATATCTACTGCGACATAGTTCTTTATCTTAATGTTGCTTTTTGCTACATTGTTTTTGTTAATCCCTGAACTACTTTCCTTGAAGACTCCTGAATTTCTACATGTGATCTGTAGGGATTAACGTGTGACCAAACTGAACTGTATACCTCTGTGTTTTTAAACTCCAACATTGGCCCTAGGAGGGTAGGACCTCTTCCAAGTTTCGAGACTTGGCCAGTTCCCAAGGTTTTTCGCTTGGACCGGCACCCTGCTGCGTCCGAGTGACTCGCCTGAGTCCAATAAAACTGGGCAAGTTTGAAACACTGGTGCAGCTTCTTAGTTGACTGTTCTCATCCCTACCCATACTCTTTCTCTTTTGACTGAAAATTGCATCTTATCTATCATACCTACTATAATGTGGTTGCAGGAGTCTGGAACTGGGATAAGGGTTTTCAGAAAGGATTCAATACTGTTGAGAGATAGGATATATGGGGTTTGATATTGTGATAACTAGGCTAGGGGGTTGCTATATGTCAAATTGAAATGTTAACGTCCTAATTTCTCATGCTCCTATCACCATATCTACTTTTCCCCTCCAAAGTCGAAGTGATTCCCAGTTTCTTTCTTATCTGTTACAATGGAAACCCGAGAATCTCGAATCTGGATTCCAGCTGGATATAATTTCCTTGTAAATACTATTGTATCATGTCTGGATAGGGTTCAGAACCAAAAATGTTTTCTGGTAATTATGGTTATTATCACACCTTCTCAAATTAATATTTCTTGACATGATATGGTTCAGAACCAAAAATGTTTTCTGGTAATTGGGGGTTATTGTCACACGTTCTCAAATTATATATTTTCATGTGTCTTATTACTTTTCTAGTTCTTTTTTTCTTAAATATGATGAATGTTGGTGTTGACATAGAACCATAATCTCTAATGTGGTCTATGTTTCTCAATAAACTGCTATAGTCATATTATCATAATATACTTAAGTCTGCATGGTTTTTCACATTGATATGTTGCTTGTGTGCAGGTGGTCACAAATGTGTCAAAAGTTTTGCCCAAGGACACAGAAGCTCCTCCTGGTGGAGTGGATGACATGACAAAGCTTTCTTATTTGCACGAACCGGGAGTTCTACAAAACTTGGCCACTCGATATGAACTTAATGAAATCTATGTGTGTATTTGTTTTATTTGTCATTTCCTATATATTATGATAATTTTATATGATGTGCCATGCCACTTTGGGGTATGGAAACTTTGGGGTATGGAAAATTGATTGCCATCATTAATGATTGTAGACTACTAACTTTTTAACTTCATTACCAGACATACACCGGTAACATATTGATTGCAGTAAATCCTTTTCAAAGGCTGCCGCATCTATATGGTACTCACATGATGGAACAATACAAGGGAGCAGCCTTTGGAGAACTAAGCCCTCATGTTTTCGCAGTTGCTGATGTTGCATACAGGTAACTTTTTGTTATTTCCTTGAAAACTTAATATGTTGAAGTTAGATGATTGCTTATACTGATGGCATATGTTGTATGAAAACAGAGCTATGATAAATGAGGGAAAAAGCAACTCCATTCTGGTGAGTGGGGAAAGTGGTGCTGGTAAAACTGAAACGACAAAGATGCTTATGCAATACCTCGCTTACTTGGGGGGACGATCTGGAACAGAAGGAAGGACAGTTGAACAACAAGTTTTGGAAGTAGGTATCATTTTACTTTTATTCGATTTAAGTTCACTTACTTTTGGTGGCTGAGCTTTCTGACTCTCAGTGGTATTGCTTTAACATATTGCAGTCTAATCCAGTCCTCGAAGCATTTGGCAATGCTAAAACTGTTAGAAACAACAACTCTAGGTGAGTTATACGTGTAATCTTTTTTGGTCTTTTGAAAATGGAACTTTCATTCTATCCATGCTATCTTGTATACAATTTGATTTAACGAGACTTTGGTTCACAAATTTAGCGAAATATGATAATTGAAACAGAGCTTTTGTTATTTATATTCAACATTTTCTATTTTTGTGATGAACTAAATACTGTGCATTTCTATGTTCTGTATGATGTATCTGTGAAGTCGTTTTGGGAAATTTGTTGAAATACAATTTGACAAGAGTGGGAGGATATCGGGGGCAGCTGTCAGAACCTACCTTCTCGAAAGGTCTCGTGTTTGCCAGATTTCAGATCCTGAGAGAAACTACCATTGCTTTTATCTCCTTTGTTCAGCGCCACCTGAGGTATTTCCCATTGTTATTTATTGCTCTCAGTTGGAATATTTTATTCTCATTAGGTAACTTCTATAATCATAAGGCTTTCTAAAGCTGTTGATCTATTTAATGTGTTCCACAGGATATCGAGAAATATAAATTGGGGAATCCACGATCTTTTCATTACCTTAATCAATCTAATTGCTATCAACTAGATGGTGTGAATGATGCACATGAATATCTTGCAACCAGGAGGGCAATGGATATTGTTGGCATTAGTGAGCCAGAACAGGTAATATCATTCCCTGCATTTATCCGAGTTCATTATGCTTATTTCAATCTATTACTATTTTCATAAATATTTATCCTCTAGACTAATTTTTCCGGTTGATAACTTTAGGAGGCAATCTTCAGGGTTGTTGCTGCTATTTTACATCTTGGTAATATTGAGTTTGCTAAGGGAAAGGAGATAGATTCCTCTGTCCTTAAGGATGAGAAGTCTAGGTTTCATCTGAAAATGACAGCTGAACTGCTCATGTATGCTTTTGGCTTCTAATATTTTTTGTTGTCCTTGTGCACTCTTGAGTTATTGTGTGGTTGACATACTACTTTATTTCCCCTTCACTAGGTGTGATGAGAAGAGCTTGGAAGATGCACTGTGTAGACGTGTAATGGTGACACCTGAAGAGGTTATTACGAGGGACCTCGATCCTGTTGCTGCAATGATTAGTAGAGATGGTCTAGCCAAAACGATCTACTCCCGCTTATTTGACTGGTAAGAGTTTCTATGGTGTAAGTACTAGTGGGATATTATTTATGTTCTATTAAACAACTTCCATTTTCAGGCTGTTCATTTCTATTGACATAATTATTCAATTGCGAATCTCCCATCACCTTGAGATAGAATTTTAATACATTGAGCCATGTTTTTTACAGGCTTGTGGATAAGATCAATGTTTCGATTGGTCAAGATCCAAACTCAAAGTCATTGATTGGAGTCCTTGATATTTATGGTTTTGAAAGTTTCAAGTCCAATAGGTATCCCTACATGAAAAATAGTTAGATTAAGTCAGCTCTTTCTGTGAAATTTGAATGCATATGGAGTCCTGATTCGCTCCCTTTTGTTTCTTCCTAAACAGTTTTGAGCAGTTCTGTATAAATTTCACTAATGAGAAGCTGCAACAACATTTTAACCAGGTGAGTGAGCCTAATTTTGTTGTTAGAAATACAATTCTAATTTCTTAAATTTCAATGCAATGACTGTGATGAGCCTATGCTTTTCTATTTTTGCAGCATGTATTCAAAATGGAGCAGGAAGAGTACACTAAAGAGGAAATTAACTGGAGCTACATTGAGTTTATTGACAACCAAGATGTGCTGGATCTGATTGAAAAGGTTTTCTGTCTGTTGTCTAATGAAGTTTCTATAGAAGCTATTTCATTTTCTGGGAAAAATTCTATGAATTTGTAATGCTAGTTATATTTTGTTTTGGATTAATAGCTGAAGGAAAATAAAACTGTCTGGTTACATCATCATCATAATTCTTGACTGACTGCAGACAGGTTAAAGGGAAAGTAGTTATAAAAAGCAATGTATTGGCTGGATGTCACTTAATCTATCAATACTACTGTTCTTGTTATCGTGGGTGGCTATCATTGTATACTTAAATACATGTATTGGTTTGTGATGCAGACTACGGAGTAACTGAATTTTCGACTGGCTCTTTGCTCAGTCATCATGACAATTATACTGCTTGTTGTCAAATATATGTTTTCTGTTAATAATTTGCTACCATGCTTCTATTTCTTATCATTTATGAAAATTTTATCACATCTAATAGTTTGGTTTTAGAGGAACTTCTATTAACTCAAATAATGAAACTTCAGATCTAGGAGAGAGTGCCATATATAAGTAGGATTATGTGCATGACTTGCAAATGTATGCATTTTCTTTCACTAATTTAAGATTACCCAAGTAGTCTACCTAACAAAGAGGATAGAATAAAAGAAAATAACTGTGTTTCTTTGTGTATTACTGTGGCGTGTCATACGGTTTGGGGAGAACCTGACCTCGGCTGCCGGAAACTCTCTGACAGAATCATTCTCTTCTGCTTCCCAATTAAGACCAGTGCTCAGAGGACACTACAGAGCACGACTTCGCTGTCCTTAAAGGGAGCCACCCTCACACTTCGCCGCTGGTCCTAAAAATGCGGATCCTTCAAGAATGCGGATCCTTCAAGAAACAGAGAACCTGGGTCAGGGCCGCCCACATTCCCTTATACGCTTGGAAACCTTCAAACTCATTGCAAATGCGTGTGGCACCTTCACTTAGTACACTCGAAATCCTTTCAATACCTCCACTTGGGCACCATACAATTACTTGTCGAGCTCTTGGATCCCCTGTGTAACGTGCCTTTGCTTTGGCTTGAGATTGATGAGCTCCTGTTCCGTATCCTTCTCTCCTGGAATAGTGCTTCACCTCCTTCCCTCCACCATGTTCCACCAGCGGAGCATGGAAGAGCCTCAGTCATGACCTCAACTCCTGAACTGTAGTCTCTAGGTGACTTCAATGCCCAGTTCATCGCAGCCCACCGAGGATGAATGATAGGGCCCACAATTCCCCCCTTCTGAGGATTAAAACAAGTCCTCCCAACTCCCCAACTCCCATCCCCTGGTCTAACCCGAGCCCTTCCTTCTCTCCCCCTTTGGGCGACATGCAACTCCCGTCATGTAGCACGCCTTCTCACCACTCTCCATCCCCTTCCTCTCTTCCCTCTCCCTCCCACGTGGTCCCACCCCCGCATGCTGGCCATGTACCCCCTCTCATTGACACGAGTGCCTTTCCTAGTACTTGAAACACCACCTTCCTCTTCTGCCTTTTCCCTGCTTATCCATTCTCTCTCCTCTCCCCCTCTCTCTCCCACGTCAATGGAGCCTCCGTTTGCCACATTCACCCCTCCTCCTCGTATGGTTGCCACATCGCCATACCTACCCCTATACCTCAAGGACCCATCATTACTCTCACAGCTGGGGGCACTTCGGCCGGGGTAGGTTTTCCGCCACCTGGCCAACTCTCCACCGCCTCTTCGCTCATCCCTTACCCGAACCTCCCGTCCTCTCCAATCCCAACTCTCCGACTCTCTCCCCGCTAGATCCCTACCTTTCTCTCTCTTCTCCCTTTCACCTCTTTCAGCCCCTTCGACTCTGGACCTTTTCCCTGTCCAACCTCTGGGGCTGAGGAATCTGTGGGACGCACTCTTGGCAGCCTCATCATCGTTGACCTTCAATCTACCTCCCCTCCATTGCAACGAGACATTGGCAGTTTACCCTCCCTCTCATCTGGCAGAGCAGTCCCCTACCCCAGAGCAGATGGATTTTCCCCCCGCTCGAAGCTAGCCTACTACAATGGAGCTTTCACCCATCCTCAAGACTTCCTCTCTCGCAGACCAACACCTCAAGGAACCCCACCTGTCAAGCCTGCTGACTGTTGCGCCGGTTATCAGTGGTACTCATTCCACCTCACATATCCTTACTCTCTATGGCACAAGCCCCCCTAACCACCCCCCACCCCCCTTAAGCCTCTCTTCCTGAACAATCAACTGGGGCTTCCTCGAACTCTAGCTCCTCACCAGCCCCTTCACCTCACTCAGTTGATTCCTCCTTTGTGATGGATTGAACTCAACGCAACATCAGAGAAGTGTTGCAAGTGATGGGATTTCACTACGACGGCCTTGAAGGACCGTTTAGGCAGATGCTCAGACCACAATTAGGTAAGCAGAAAAGGCAAGAGAGAAGTCTATAACCTGTTTTTTGGGATCAAATACAAGAGGTCAGCCACACCCTCTACCTCTGTTAAGCTTGCTGTTTCGTAAGCCCCTTCTTATGGCATCCTCCCGAGATGCTCCCCTCGGCGTGTCCCCCTCCTCAACCTAACCCCATGATAATCTTGCCATGGAATGTTAGGGGTCTGGGACACCCCAACAAGCGCAGCTCAGTACGGGACCTCTGTATTAAGTTTCGTCCCCTGATTCTTACTTTGATTGAAACAAAACTACCCCTCCCTTCTCTTCAACTCATCAGACAAGTGTGGGGCCGGAGACCCTACCAATGGGAAGCATTGCCAGCGTCCGTGGCCTCAGGAGGAATTTAGGTAGTCTGGGACCCAACTGTCCGTTCCCTAGCCTCCTCACACATTGGACCTTTTCAGTCACAATGCTACTCTCCAGAATTTTCGATGGCTTCCTGTGGAAATTCTTGGCGATTTGTGGCCCCTTATGATGGGATCAGTAACCTTTTTTGGGCAGAACTAGATTCTGTGGCATCGATGCCCCATCCCATCCCACTTGGTGTCTGGGTGGAGACCTTAATGTTACTAGCTGGTCTTTCAAACACAACTCTAGGTTCAATATCTCTTGTGGGATGCTGGATTTATTGGATTTCATCTCCCATAATGACCTTATACATGTTCCTCTCTAGGGAACCCAGTTCACGTAGTCCAACCACTCAGCTATCCCCTCTTTCGCAAACCTTGATCGGTTCACTTGAGTGGGATGCCGCCTTTCTTGGCTCCCATGCCTCAGCATTACCCAAACCCACCTCCGATCATTGTCCCATTGTCCTAGATATCCAACCAGCCACGATAGGACCTAAACCCATTCGCTTCAATTATCCTGGCTTGAGGAACCCCACCTCAATTCCTTATTGCCTACTTGGTGGAATTCCTTCTCCCCCTTAGTGGCGGGAAGGGCAGGTTTCAAACTCCAGTGCAACTCTAGCTTCTCAAACTCTCTCTTAAGGATTGGAGTCTCACTTTACCTGGGAAATTCCACACCCTTATCAGTCCTCCAAGCTATCCAAGGCCTTGACCTTATTGAGGAATCTGGGCCCCTGTCCTTCTCGGAAGCACTCCAGAGATCTCAATTAAATATTTATTATCAACTCATTCTCAGAAAAGAAGAGATTTTCTAGTACCAGAGGTCTAGAGTGAAATGGATCCAGTTTGGAGACCTTGACACAGCCTTTTTCCATAAAATTGCCAACTATCGGCGTTAGGGATAATATCATGACCCGCATTAAGGTGGGAAATAGAGTGCTTGACCAACCAGCAGAGTTTGAAGAAGCCATTGTTCATTTCTTTGAGCAGCTTTTCTCTGCCCCTACCGGCCCAAGATCGAGGATGGCAGACCCTTCTTTCCTTACTCTCTCCCCTGATCAGGCCTCTTGTCTTGAATGCGCCTTCACAGACGAAATACTCTTGGCCATCACTATCTTGGCCTAGATTGAGCCACGGGTCCTGATGGGTTTCTTGTTGCCCCCTTTAAAACCTTTTGGAATACCTTTAAAAATGACTTCCTCTGCTTCTTTGAAGAATTCTACTCTAGAGGGATCATCCATAGGGTGATGAATGCCACTTTTATCACCCTCATTCCTAAAGTAGAAAGAGCCAAGGAGCTTAAGGACTTTCGCCCTATTACCCTCATTAATTTGTCTTACAAGATACTTTCGAAGGTCCTGCCTACCCAGCCAAGGGAGGTTCTCTCTCAGGTCATTTCCCTCTCTCAAGGGGCTTTTGTCAAAGATCGTTAGATTCTTAATGGGGTATTGGTGGCACCTGAATTCCCCTACTCCAGGCATCTCGTCAAAAGTCTGATGATTATTTTCAAAATCGATTGGGAACAAGCTTATGACCATGTTGATTGGGACTTCCTAGACAAGATTCTCTCAAGAATGGGGTTTGGGTTTTGCTGGAGAAGTTGGATGAAGGGTTGTTGCTCTTAACTCCCATTTCTCCATGCTTATCAATGAGTCCCTCAAGGGATACTTCCCCTCGTCAAGGGGTCTCAGGCAGGGATGCCCCCTATCCCCATTCTTTTTTGCTATCGCCCTGGAGTTTTTCAGCTAATCCATCTCTCCCATGTTCCAACTGGACGGCTGAAAGTATTCAAGTGTGGACCCTGAGGTCCGGTCATCGCTCACCTCCAGTACACATATGACACTCTTGTTTTCTGTGGTGCTTCTTTCGAAGAACTGGACTCCCTCCGCCTATTCCTCAAATGTTGAATTTGCCATAGGTATTAAGGTATGCATGTCCAAATCAAAGATGATCGCAGTGGCGTTGGACATGCAAGCCTCACAAGACATAGCTGCTAGATGGGGATGCCAGGCCGAAAGCTTGGCTTCCAATTTCCTGGGGTTGCCCTTGTGCCTAGGCACCCCAAGAAAAGAACGGTCTCATATAATTGATAAGGTCGACCAGAAGCTTGTGGGTCTGAGGGATGCTTCCTCTCATTGGTTGAAAGGATCACCCTTATCAAGGCCACCCTATCTAACATCCTGATCTATCAAATGTCCCTATTTCATATGCCTGCAGTAATGACCACTTGACTCAAGCAGCTAATGAAAACGTTCCTGTGGTCAGGTGATGCTAGCACCAAGAAGTATCACCTCATCTCTTGGGAAAACGTTTGCGAGCCCAAACGACTCGGGGGCCTTGGTATTCACAACCTAAGGAAGCACAACACTGCCCTACTTAGGAAATGGTTGGTGGAGACTGGCAAACCCAAGACAACCAGCTTTGGATTTAGGTCATTTGACAAAAATATCGACTTGATCCATCCATTTGGATGCTAGAATGTAGGTCTTCCAGCAGATCTTCAGGGGTTTAAAGATCCATCCTCACCTCCCACAACCTCTTTCAAAGCCTCATTCGATTCCATCCTTGGGAGGGGCGACGGGTACGGTTCTGGTCAGGCTTGTGGATTGGCCAAACCCCCCCCCCCCCCCCTTAAACGACCTCTTTCCTTCCCTCTTTCGCCTAGCTCAGAATCCACTCTCGTCCGTGGTGGATGAGATGCATCTGTCGGGCCCCTGTAGAGCTTGGAACCTTTCTTTTAGAAGACCCTTACTGATTTTGAAACAACTGATTTTGTGAATCTCTCATCCCTTCTCCATTCAACCATTCTGGCCCCTCCGTCTCGAGGACCTTCTTCATGTCCTCTTTTTATAGAAGTTTCTTCAGTCACCCACCTTCCCCCTCTCTCCCTCGTCAATTATAGCCCGAGCTTGGTTGTCCATTGTACCTCCCAAAATCCAAGTCTTTAATTGGATAGCATTGTTTGGAAAAGGCCCTCACGGTTGACCATCTACAAAGGAGAGGGCTGGCCATTCCCAATAGATACGTGATGTGCTTGGCCAATGAAGAAAGCGATGCCCACCTATTTGTACACTTCCCTCTGGCCCATGAGCTTTCAGGCGCTATTCTTCAGCTGTTCAATTGGCGATGGGTTACCCCACAGTCAATCGCTGCTCTTTCTAGCTCTCTCCAACCCTTCCCTTGGCCCAAAGCTGGTATCCTCTTGCGGAAGGTCTTAGTAGTGGCAATCCTATGGTTATCTGGAATGAGAGAAATTGCAGAATCTTTTGGGGAGAAAATGCTCGCCGGTATCCTTATTCGAGAAAATTAGATCTTTGGTCATCTTTTGTGTGACCCACTATAAACAGTTAAGGGGTTTACGCCACGCGTTTATCCAGAATTAGTGAGCCTTACTCTTTACAAGTCTGCCATGGACCTCCCGTGCCTCCTGATGGTCTCCACCTCCTCTTGGATATACCAATCTCAATTTCAACGGTTGCTCTATTGGTAACCTAGGTCCTGCAGGCATCAGTGGCATCATTAGGGATCAGGGGGTTGTACCCTTGCTTCTTTCTCCAAAAACATTGGCTACGCTGATTCCCGATGGCTGAGGCCATTGCTCTCCTGGAAGGCCTCAAAGTGTTCGATCCCCACTCGAGCGAGTCTCTAATCGTATAGGCTGATTCGAAGAATGTTATCTGATGCGCTTCAGGCTCCTTTCCAAGTCCCTGGTCTCTTGCCCATGTGTTTGACGAATTTGCTCACATCTACCGGCATATGGACATCTCTTGGAGGCATATCTGGCAGGAGGCCAACACAGGAGGCGGACAACCTTGCTAGGGATGTGGTCAACAACTGCAATGCATGACTAGCTTGTACTCTCAGTGATCCCCTGAGAGGAATTTTTTTTTGAAACTTTCTGTGTATACGCACCTTCTTGATGAATTTTGTACAGGGCAACCTTGCGAGGGTTAGCCTCTACATTTTTTGGAATAGAGCTCCCACTTGGTGGGAAGCTTGTTTTTTGTACGGAGCTCCCAGAATGTGGGAAGCCTAATGTTGATTACCTGTAACTCTATTTAACTAATAGAATAGAAAAGTTAACAACTTCAAAAAAAAAAAAGGGTTTATGGATGGGGGTGTGAGACTGAGATCTGGTTTCAATTGAATAACAAAGGTTTGTTGAGTGAGTTATGTTAGAAATCTTACCAAAGTCCTGGATGGGTTGAATGGGCACTAGAGTGTGATACCTCAGGCTTTTTGGGATTCAGAGGTGCTCTTGTTTGAACCTATGATGGAAAATTTCCCCCAAACTAGCCTTTTTTTTAAATGGTTCATTGATTTGTTTATAGGTTTAATTTCCTAGATAAGTGGCTTGATGAAAACTGCTTTTTTTTTTTTTTTTCTGGGCTTGGTTGAGAGATGGAAGCAATTCATTGGGGGTGATATCTGCCTAGAAGACATTGGGTACTCTTTAGACTTCTTTTTACTGGCTGTTTTCATCACATTGTGATATATATTGTGTCATCTCTCCTTTCAGAAAGGTGCACAAGCTTGAATAGAGTTGTGGTAATTTATTTAATTATTTATGTATATTCTCTTACCTTTATTATCCCTTGAATGATATTTGATCTGTTCATACGGGTTATTCTCATACCTTTATTAACATGCGTATATCTTGGTCCCAGTTTTGTACCGTAGGAGATTCATTTTGCATTCTCTATATTGTTCTGCCTCTTCATGAAAAGAAATGGGATTGAAGTTGATGGGCACATGATTCTACATGTTTGTCAAATTTGTAATCATTTGAATTCTTGCAGCTGCCAAGCTATATAGACAGTTCCTTTTTTATGCATGGACGATCTAACCTTTCTTTTCCGTTATCTTGGAGTTTCAAAGCCATTGTTTCTATTTGTCCTCTACCATTTGTGATTTGACATCCGTTTTTTGTTTTGCAGAAACCTGGTGGTATTATTGCTCTTCTAGATGAAGCTTGGTATGCTTCTGATCCACTAGCTGTAGATGGATGACATTGGTTTTAATTTCTTTGATGTGGGTGCATAGTTTGTCTTGAAGTGATAGAGAAGATTATTCTATGATGTTTTCTTCATGCATTAAGTTTTAACTTACAGCATGTTTCCGAAGTCGACGCATGAAACATTTGCGCAGAAGCTCTATCAAACATTTGCAAAGAATAAGCGATTTATCAAACCGAAGCTTTCTCGCACTAATTTCATTATTTCGCATTATGCTGGGGAGGTAAATTGCAGTTTTTCCGCTTGGTTTCTTGTTCTTTATCTTTATTTTATAACTCCTTGTCTTGATTTCATTTGGATTCCTTACCTATAGGTCACATATCAAGCCGATCTGTTCTTGGATAAAAACAAAGATTATGTGGTAGCAGAGCACCAGGATTTGTTAAATGCTTCAAAATGTCCTTTCGTTGCTGGTCTGTTTCCTCGACTTCCGGAGGAGTCATCAAAGTCTTCCAAGTTTTCTTCTATTGGAACACGTTTTAAAGTATGCAAGTTTATTTTTATGGTCATCTTTCAATGCTAATACTTTTAGCCTGTTGTAATCCCTTGGGACTTTGTATTTATATCTTGGTGTCCAAATCTGATGTCTCAAAGCTAGCGGCTATTATAACTAAGAAGTCCTCTTTTTGGTAATTAACATTAATTGGATTGAGAGAATGCGTACAGCCATACAACTTAGGACTTAAAATGCTGGGAATGAACACACACACACACAAAAATACATGTAGAAAAGCACAGTTTGAATGTTATTGGATCGCAAGCAAAGTGCAGGCTCTCTAGCAAGAGCAATGGAATGCTGGGTGGACATGCCTGTGCACTACTGTGTTCAGTTGTGTACTGAATATGCAGTAATCCCATACATGTTTGGGTAAAGATGGCGGTCATGTTTTGTTCACATGCCTGTGCACTACTGTGTTCAGTTGTGTACTGAATATTATGTAATCCCATGCATGTTTGGGTAAAGATGGCGGTCACGTTTAGTTCACATTGATTTTACTCCCTCTATAAGAAATATACTTCGCCGAGCGTGTATAATTTACTAAACACACTTTTACTATTATAAAAAATAAACATACTTCAATAATTGTGCAGGACTACCATGTTAATTATGTGTAGAAGTGTTAAGTTTGCAAATCACTTTTTGCTTTATCTTATGGATGATCTCACTTATGCAGCAACAACTTCAAGCTCTGATGGAAACATTGAACTCAACAGAACCACACTACATTAGATGCGTGAAGCCAAACAACGTTCTTAAACCTTCTATATTTGAAAACTTCAATGTCATCCAACAATTACGCTGTGGCGTGAGTATCCAAAAATTGGTCATATACATTGCTAAATTCTTTACTGTCCTACTTTATTTTTTGGGCAAACGATTAATGAATGCTCCACGCTTTTTTTTATATATGCAGGGTGTACTTGAGGCTATTAGGATCAGCTGTGCTGGATATCCTACCAGACGAACTTTCTATGAATTTCTGCACCGTTTTGGTGTTCTTGCTCCTGAAGTTTTGGATGGGAAGTAAGTGATTTGCTTTCATTTCTTTTATGTTCTTCATATGAAAGATTATTTACATCTTCGAATGCTCCAGATATATCACTTCTCAGAACTTGAAGATCGTCTGATAACTTAGGCATAAATATACATTTTATGAATTTATTTTGTGGCTGTACAGTTCTGATGAAGTGGTCGAATGTAAAAAGATTCTGGATAAGATCGGCCTGAAAGGTTATCAGGTATGTTTGTCTTACCATAACATGAGTTTTGTCTCCATTCTACCTAAATAATTTTTATCTGAACTTCTATAATCGTAATCATAGAAATTTTTGGCTGCACCATATTTAAAATTTGCTTTTAAAGGATCTGTTTAAAGGAAAACTTCTTTTTAAATAGGGATCTGTTTGTTCTCTCTCTCTC